CACACCACATTCCTTTCAACAGGAGTAGTTGCATAAGTTTAAGGGAGTGAACTCATTCACCTATTCATCCATCCATCCATCCATCCATCCATCCATGATATAATATCCCCATGTGGCCAGTGACAGAGTTCTCAATTCTCCTGAAAGAGCCAGTTAAACAACTAGAGCATCATCCGCAAATAAATCACAACATATTGTTTTTCATTATTCAGAAAATGTGTCACATATTTCTTCCAGGCTTTCTTCTCTTCCTCCCTCTCAGTTCTGCTCTGTGCTGAAATCTGCAGCGCTGCCTTTTCTCTGCGTTGTCAAACTCTGCCCCCTGCTGACAGCATCGGAAAACTGCACAGATAAAGTGTGTGTGAGACAGATTCCCTCCAGATGTGTACAGTATTTATTTTCTTGCCAACTCACACACTGAATCCTGGGTTTCTAGAGGCGTTTAAAAATGTTTAAACTAACAGGATCCAAAAGGATTTTGTTCCTGTTGAAATATTTGGTTGCCATGGAGGCAGCAGACACAGTCACAAGTGAGCTGGCAGTTCTTCCACTCCTTTGTTGAACAGTGATAAAAGCAATGACTTCTTACAGCCAAAAGAAGAAATGTTCTTTCTATATTTATATTATGTATTTATTTAATTTAATTTGAGGCATTGATAAAAAAAAAAAAGAAGAAAAGTTGTGTCAATGGGACCATCACAGCCTCAGTGTGTGGGCCTACCTAATACACCTAATTGTCCAAATACAAAGGTATGTATGGTCAGACAGAACACAAATACTGACAAAGAGATTCTGATTTAATCACAAACTTTAAAACAATAAATCAGGATTTATTTTTAAGCATTTTGGGAAATACACTGCTGAGAATTAGATGAGAAAATCGATACCACTCACATATCTCTATGGTAAATATAATGCTACAGCAAGCAGCCAGTTAGCTTAGCTTAGCATAGCCACCAGAGATAGGAAGAAACAACTAGCCTTAAGATGACAACAACACTTCAGGCAAGTGTGTAGGTTTGATTTGTGTAGGTGTAGGTGGGGACATAAAAGTGGTTCACAGGGGCATCTCCTGCAAGCTGCAGCTTTCATAGATATGGTAGCCAACGCACTCATTTTATATATCTCATATACACATCATAGTATTAATTTCCACGTTATTAACAGACCTATATTATATATTATATATACAGTATACTATACCAGTGCAACCTCAGTGTAATACAATACAAATATCTATTTACTCTCATTGTTAGAAGCCTAGACCTCACCTGTGGCCTCGCCTCTCCTCCTCTGTCTGAACTACCTGGCTGATTGCTTCTGTCACCTGATAAAATAACACACTGATGTATTCCATATGAACAGTGAGACAACATGTGCCTATTCAAAGCTCTTGTTTCAAACACAATGTACTGTTGTGCAGCACATCATCAGCCCAACATTTGTCACAATACAGAATCTCACTACTAACATGTCACCAAGTCATTATCAAACCTCAGCTGTGACCCCGCCTCCCCTCCGCTGTCTCGGTCACGTTGCTTCTGTCACCTGATTAAATAACACATCGATGACATAAAAATATTTATGACTTGGTTGAGAATCATTATTACCATAATTTACTCAACACATTAGCAGCTGAGAAAATATTTTCTTTAAGTGACTCACACTTTGACTTGTTATTTGTTTCCTTTCTGGCTGTCATCCTGACTCAGCATATCACCAAATTACCCTTATTGCCACACACAAACACATAGATATTATTACATATATATTACATAAATTCCCCAAAAGAGAGTTCAGCCCTTAACTACTACATACTTCGTAGCAGTACCTCCTACATAAGGAAGAGAAAATGCGTGATCGACGCTCCTCACATCCACGTCCCATAAGTGCAATTCAGTTCTCTTAGGTTGCAACATCTTAATCGGTTTGGACATCCCACCCACTATACCTTTATTAGCATTACGGGGCAGGGAGTACAGAAATGTGTCCGTACATCCTGAAATGTATGAGTTAACGAGCAGAGGTGTAGTGCTATTTGTTTAAATACAGGAGTTTACATGCATTAGTGATTATGAACAGTTTCATATGTTGAGAATATTACACAGCAAAACATCGAGCTAAGTAGTATTAGATGACACCATGGATGTAGTAGGTTGTAATTACTGTAGTATTAAGCAATTTAGATGAATAAAATCAAGTAGTTTGTATCTTAAATGATTTAATTTAATTACTTGTGCCAAGCAAATGAAGCCACATTCGAAACATCCACTCTGAGGAAAAGCTGTGGTGCAGCCAGAGGTCAACTTCATTTAATAGGCTGGGCTACGAAAACGCAGCTAAGCAAGCTTTCATTTCCAGCAGGCATTGTGGATGCAGCACAAACTGTCCAGGTTTAATTAGCTGGCTTTTTTTTTTTTTTACCTCTCTGTCTCTGTCCCTCTCTCTCTCTAGATGTGGTATATGTTAGCACGATCCATCCTCATCACCTGAGCACCGGCAGGCTCTTCATGAAGTCTAAAAAGAATGTGCTGATTGAGAAGCTCCTGGCCATGAATTCAAGGGAGGTGTCGGATAATGATGTGCAAAGCATTTCTTTTCAGTGTAGTGAATCATTAGAATCAGTTCATTAAAAAGTTTAGTTTGAAAGATTTGCTCACTGAATCATTAAGTGCTTGGGGTGAGATGGGGTGGGGTGAGGTGGGGGGGCACGAGATCGAGAGAGAGAGAATGTGTGTGTTTGTGTGTTGCTTGAGTAATACATGTCTTGTCTTGTGTCAAACACACACACACACACAGAATGGCTTCTTCTTTTGTTTCTGTTCTTGGGCTACACTTCCTACATTAAATATATGACTATTAACTTGACTAATTAAACACAGACATATCCCCTGGTCGCCCGCAGCGATTACATGCAGGCAGTGAGCAGAGAATTTAGTTGGATAAAGATATTGTTTACAAACTGAAAGTTCTACCTTATTATGTGTAACACGTATTTATTCTTGACACCTAATTGCTAAATCAAATATTTGTCACAATATAGATTTTCACTACACAATTATCGTGGCCAAGAGAATTCATGATGATCTGATACACAAAAGGTCCACCAGGCCTAACATCCGCCATTATGATATTATCAAATGTGTATTATTAACAAGATACCGCTGTTTCATTTTTTAAAAGTCACAGTTATTATCAATAATGGCATATTGTGACACCCCTATTTGGAACTACTTCTTACTGTAAAACTTGAAGACATGAGAAGGAGGGAGATGGGTGGGCTTGAGTGACTCAGCGACTGTCCATCATTCAGGGCCGGATGAACGAATCGCTGAACATGCACCGTTCCCTTGCAGTGAAAGGATCTCAGACCGTCTCAGGTTCAGCCACCTGTGTTTTCATATTGCAGATTTCACCAGGGTCATGCAGAGGACGTTAGAGAGGCAGGGGCTGTAGAAAAGGCAAATTTTCAGCCTCTTTTCCCATGCGACTTTCTTACTAACTAAAAAGAACCGATGGTGACAAAGACTTTCATAATTGACGATGTATCAAGATGCCCTACAACAATCCAGTATAACAAATTGTAATTCCCTTAGAAGCCTACCAGTGTTTCCCACACATAGACTTTACTTGGGTGGGCCGCTGTCAGATTTACAGCAAGTTAATTTCTGTAAATGAAACCTCCACTGTTTTCAAACAGCTGACAGATGTAAGAGCACTGCCACCAACAAAGATGAAACAATATACTTTCTAACATGACACGGTAGCATCTTATGGTTTGATCTTAAGTCCTGTTATTAGAGTCCTGTTATTAAAGTGTGACTGGCCATATGTGTGTTTTCACCACCCACACACTGTATTGTTCCAATAAATTTAGAGATATAGTGGAAAAAAAAGGGGTTTGGCTCTGGATTCAAGCAGCTGCCTGGTGGTCAGGAGCCAGGTCAGGAGTTGCTTCCTCACATCCAGACAACAGGAACAAAGCAGCAGACAGTGTTTTCCTCTTCAGCTGGGGATTGTGCCAAATGGCTGCCATATTTCATATATGTGAAGGGCCTCCAAATATTAAAAGGTCTCCGTCTATCAGTTTTACTGTTTTTTTTACCTTGATGAAATCTTGCAACAAGTTGAAACATAGTGTTAGACTCTTAAATGTCACTGTAAAGATAGTTCAGAGGAATTTGTCTTGACTTAAAATGAAATAAAACATCTGTAAGTTTTGCTTTTGGTCCATACATTACCACCCAGGATGTAGTCAGCCATTAAATGCAGTAAATTAAATTACAGTTCTGAAATGCACCACTGTACTGTATGTGTGATTTCAAAATGATACAGCCTGGAAAAGCATGACTAACATGACAAAGCCACACAGCCACACAGCCACACAGCCAGCATACAAGCAGCGATTTCTCTGTGAAGTTAAACTCAAGAGATGCAAAGTTTTCTTTCAAGGCCACACATTTCTATTTGATACACAGGAACACTCAAGGCTCATCAAAAAAAAAAGAAAAAAAAGAAGTGGCACACATTCCTTGACATCAGCTCCAGACTTGACCTCAACCCCAGACCAGTGAACTCCTAGAAACGCCCCTGTAGTACTAAGAATGTAAAGACAAGTCAAAATTTATTTGGAGATATTAAGTTACTATTCATATTGGTATAAATTAAATGGAGATAGTTTATGGTCAATGTAAAATTAGTAAAGTCAATCTAAAAAATGACGATGGTGACGTCATATTTTAGGCGCATAGGCAATATGACTGTAGGTTATATTTTGGAGATACCTTGACTTATTGTTCTTACCAGCCGGACTGGAGTTCCATATATATAAAACATCATTACTGGACGTACCTTAATTATGATTGTTCAAAATGCATTTGTAAATATGTAATATACAATTAGTGATACATTTCACTCGTTAAAGCGTCTTGTCATAGTCCCGTCGTTCAACACGAGATCTCGTACCTTACAGCGGAGCTTCTCTCGCCGCACCACCAACTTGTCACCAAAGATGGCGATTTGCTGAGTGCTCATGGATACACACATTTGTCGGCTAGTTGCTATCTTACCCGAAACGCCAACTTTAAAAACAAATTAACTGCTTAGCGAGCAACTATATCTCCCTCTGAAGCACATCTGACACAACGTCAACCACCGCTACCATGCAGATCACGCTTAAAACACTGCAGCAGCAGACTATTCAAATTGAGATAGACCCCGAACAAACGGTGAGTGGCTATTAGCTAACTTGCTAACTTCAGCTAACAGTACTAGCTGCGAGACCTATGTTTTAACTTTACGGTTACACCTTACAGCTTTACTTGATATCGCCAATTAAAGAACAATTTATATAGTGTCTGGTGAAGAGTGCCCATTAATTTCATATGTTTCAAATGAACAAACCACATGAAGTAGATTGCTAAACAACGCGAAAGCTCACTTACTAGCAAACGTTAGCCACATAGCTAGCTGAACAGCCTGTTAATAAAGTCATCGCGACGCGACTGCAAACGAGTTTCTTATCTTTTCTAGTTTGTGTCGCGGTTACTTGGCTGCTACTGCTCCTCGGTAATATCTGATGTGATCTAGTATGTGATGCTGTAACTTCTATGATGAACTCAAGCCTCCCACTACGCTATGATTGCTAATGCTAACGCTGATGACAATTACGATTAGCCTTATTGGTAGCGCTCTAAAAAGCTGGCTAAGTTTGTTAGCATGTTCACATCTTTGTCATGTAGCTAGCAAGGCCAACATTAAGTGAACATTAGATTGTGTTGCTCAATCTGTCAACGACACATTACTGTCATTACTCATGGTGGACATCATGCGTATAATTTTACACTTTTATTTATGGTAAGCACCGTCATGCTGTATGAGAAGTGACTCAAACCACTGCATATCCACTGCCATAACTCAAATGAGTTTTGCAACTCGGCTTTGCGGTTAGTGTGATGTATGACAACTGATAGTTATATTGTCAGTGGTTCATCTGGAGAGTTTTTTTTTATTAATAGGTGTTTGGTAGAATATTGAGAACCAAAGTGAAAGATCAAAGAGGTGAATGAAAGACTCCCATCTTACACAGAGCATGGATATGAGTAGAAAGCATTACAGGACCATTAAGATGATGATGATTCCTCTCTTTGTCATCAGGTGAAGGCTTTGAAAGAGAAGATAGAAGCGGAAAGAGGCAAAGACAACTTTCCTGTATCTGGACAGAAGCTGATATATGCTGGAAAAATCCTGCAAGATGACACACCTATTAAGGAATACAAAATTGATGAGAAGAATTTTGTTGTAGTGATGGTGTCCAAGGTGAGATCTTATTGTAATGCTTACAGATGACATATGACATTGGGTTTTACAGTGTTGTGGTGTTTGAATTAAAAAATTTTAGCTAATCTGTGGTAAACAATTATGTGCCATGTACTTTGATACTTTTTTGCACTGAATTTAATGTTAAGCAATTTCCCTATTAAGTTGCTAGTCTAACTGTACCTTCTTTTGAACTGGCTAAAGGCTAAGCCTGCAGCTGCCACCTCGCCCCCAGTCTCAGAAGCACCCAAACCTCCTGTACAGGACTCTGGTTCCACGTCTACAGCTGTCCCAGCCACAACCCCGACCCCAGCCCCGGCCCCAGCCCCAGCCCCAACTCCAACCCCAGCAGCTGTCCCCATTCCCCCCGAGGAGGCCAAAGAAGAGCCAAGTGCCGCAGCCACAGAACCACAACAACCAGCCAGGTAGACGCAGTCCCTTACATAGTGCGTAATGTTTATCGCTGCGATGATGAGTCAATAATTAAATTCGAGCTTCTCAAATCTGGGGTTTGGATGCTTTTCTAATGTTATTGATTATTTCTATTTATTATTATTGTATTTTATTTATGATAGTGAACTGAATATCTTTGGGTTTTTGACTGTTGGTTAAATAAAAGTAGTAAATGTTGTTGTCAGTCTTTTTTCTCAACTGTAGTAAATTAGTGTTCACTTTTGTAATTATGTTATTTCATATACATCCATCACAAGCCAGTGTCTGCATGCCCAACCAAAGATGGTTTGTCATTTTCCAGCTATCTTCAGCTTTAATTGTCCAAAGTGACTTATCAGCAGTTCATGGAAAAGTACATAGCAGTCATCACCTTTGAATACAAATTATTAGTATTATTTTTTGAATAATCACAATTGAATAACTGTAAGTGTTCCATTAATCAAACTATTAACTCACTAAGTGTGATACATTTGTCTGTGTTTCTAGGTACAAATAAACTTTGTTTTTTTTTAAGTTGAATTCCAAGTAAAATATAGATAAGATTTGTGTCGGTGGCACAATTAAGACCCTGCTAAATGTGTATTTTCTCACCCTGTGTTTTGTGGAGCAGTGATTCATTATAAATCGGGGTTGACTGTATTCCTGACCCAGTTGTATTTTAATGGAGAATGGAACAACAATGGAACAAGCAGTTAATCTGTCAAACTATATGTTGAAAAGAAGAACATGAGTCATAAAGTGGTTGGGATTCAAATATACCAACCTTCTTTTATATCTAAGACAAGTACTTTGCTTTTAGCACAGTGATCTGTAGTGTAACATTTATTTAATCTCATGGAATAGATGTTGATTTCTGAATTCATTTGTCAACATTGTTTCATTGTTTTGCTTCTCACCATGTTATCACAGAAATAACGGGTAGACCGTCTGATTTGTCTCTTCACCTTTTTATGTTTTGTAGCTCCAGTGGCGGGAGCCAGGGCTTGGATGCTTCCTCAGCACTGGGTATGTAATGGATGGGTCTCTGCCAGACTTACATCATACACAAGTAACTGGAGCCTATGCACCTCTAAGAGTCTCAGTGCAGTAGTTTGGGCACTTCCTCGCTGTTGTTAAATGTGAATTGTACAATTTCAGACAGTTGATAGTGCTATTAGAGTGAGAATATAACAGCAGTGCATTTCTTGTGTAAATCATAGGTTATATTTGCTTTGCCAGAAATTGTTATTGCTATGAGTCAGGGACTTTACAGGCTGCAGTGCAATACATACCGTTCCTATATTTAGGATGTGACAAAAGTAAACCATTCCTTATTGTGGTGGCACAGAGAGGGTTGGGGATTCCCATTTGTTCCAAGTACAAAATATAAAAAAAGGTGACATACTGTTTTTTAAGCCCATATTGTAGAGTATGTTGTTGTATATTGGTTGTTTGAAATCATTTGTTTTTGTATTTGAATGTGTATTAATAGTTACTTAATAGTTAGTTTTAATGTGTATTTAATTTGTCATTGTATCATCTATAGAAAGATTTATTCTATGTCGTTCCACAGTTATATAAAACCTGAAATGACTGGTAAACTGTAGTTAGATGCACTGGTGTAAAAATTTCTTTTTCAGTGAGCAATACAAAATACAACCAGGATCAAAAGACAGTTTAATAAAGTGACTGTACATGTAAATGAATTTACAATGTAAATGTCTTTTTACAGGAGGAATAATTCAAAAAGCAGTTTCCTGTTCCTGTCAATGGTGTAACTCTGCAAATATACAAACTGTGTAGAGTTTGTAACTTGATCATCTGTGTTTGGGTGGTTTTCAGTGACCGGGGCTGAGTATGAGGCGATGCTGACGGAGATCATGTCTATGGGCTACGAAAGGGAGCGAGTGGTGGCTGCACTAAGGGCCAGTTTCAACAACCCCCACAGAGCTGTAGAATACCTTCTCACTGTACGTCACACACACACACACACACACATACGCACACACACAGACTGAAATGATTCTTACCAAATGCAGCTCTGTCAAGCAGCTGTTCTGTCTGAAACATGCACAGCTCTGGCTACTAAACAAATAAAGAATTGATTTGTAGTTTTGTGTTACGTTTACATGAACAGCAGTTAATATGTCTGACCTCCTCAAGCACCGAGTCCACAGCCAGGCCCCTTAGATCCTCTGCACAGTCACTCCTCTTCATTTCACGCTCCCAAAATTTAAAGACGGACAATAAAGCTCCGTCAAAAACAGTTTGTACTGCAACTCTTTGCTGTTGTGGTTCTTGTCTGCCACACCAAGAGCAATTGAGTAAATCCCATAATTGCATAATAATTAACTGGACTGACTGGTATTTCCCCTCTGTTGGAATAAATATTTACGTAATTGTTGTTTTATAGGAACTGTAGTTCAACTTCTCAATACACCAATTTGGTCAGTTTATCATTTTGCGATATTAATTAGGGTTGCACCTATTGACCACCAGCAAATTCCTAGAGAGAAATACTAAATTATTCCAGAAACATAAAAGAAACACACTGTGGGGAGGTCACATTGTGGGAATGGGTTGCCTAACTAGGCTGAAAAACATGACAAATGTGATGTTAATTAGCATTAGCCACTCTGCTTTATGATACAGTTTGTGTAATTAATCAATGGTGACCTATGCTCTGTATGATCTAACATAAGCACACTGACTCTGTGCTCTGTGAGGGAATTGAATGTTTGAGAGGTGTTTTCTAATATCTAGTTTACCCTCATTGATGAAAATGATGTAGGTTTAATATTACAAATGCCTGTTAAGTGATTTGTATTAATCAGCAACGTCACAACGTCCAAAAGGTCAACTCTCTAAAAGAGTAAGACTGAACATTATAACCTTCATGAAGGTTACTTTAGGTTTGTCCACGTGCATCAAATAAACTGGCAACTGAGTGTGTATATTTTGAGAATGCTAAAGAATTTACGAGGCTGTTGTCCACTATGATGGACAGTAGCTGTAGGGTTAAACTAAATGAAATGTTCGAGTTGTAAGTAAATAAATGAAAAGTATATTTATTCACTTGGAACCAACAGTCAGTCAGTTACTAACTAACTTCTTGCAGGAAGTGTGTTTGTATGTGTGTGTGATTGATAATTGTATTGTTGTCTTTCCAGGGTATCCCCAGCAGCCCAGTCCAGGAGAGTAATCCACCAGCGCAGGCCCCTGCGTCTGGACCCACAGAAGCCCCATCTCTAGCAGAGGGTGAGGCATGCAACTCTATTTAGTCCAAAAATACCTGCAGTCAAGCTTTATGTGTCTCTGTCTACTGTGTAAAAAAAATAAACACCAGTGCTGGAGGCGAGTTAACAATGGTGGATTTTAAAACTGCCTCACCCCCGGCCCCAGTTACTATCCATGAATCAAAATGAGCACTAGACTGTAACTTACACTGTTTCAGGACATGCAAATTTACATCAGCCTGCTCCTGGGCTTAGTCAGGGCACATTTTCAGATAAATACAATAAATAACTGTCACTGCCTCACTGGGGGGCAATGACTCACTAGGCACTGAATTGGATGGTCTCAGTTTCTTTTTTTTTTTTTTCAAGTTATTTTTTTGGGCTTTTTGCCTCTATTAGAGTGACAGTGAGTGAGAGACAGACAGGAAAGCCAGGGAGAGAGAGTGAGGATGACATGCAGCAAAAGGCCACAGGTCGGACTCAAACCTGGGCCGCTGTGGTAAGGACTAAGCCAACATGGTACGTGCTGTAGCAGGTGAGCCACCGGGGAGCCCCCAGTTTCAGTTTATTAAATGTAAGAATTTGCTGTTTTTTTTGGTCTTCATTAAATAATTAATTGATTAATAGAGAAAATCATTGTTAGTTAGCCCTCACCTGTGAAATGGAGAACATGTGTATGTATGTATGTATGTATGCTCTGTCAGTTTAACAGGTACACGTAGCTAAATCTAATATAGTCCAGTGCAGGCTTTTCAAAATATGGGAAAGGGATGCACTGCAGAGAGGAATAAACATAACGTACTTCCTCAGTTTTCTGCCTGCCCCGAGACTCTCTCCTTTCCCCACATATAGCTGAGTTTAGCTAACCAGATGTTTACCGTCATTTCTTTTCTGGTTTATTTTTTCTCACACTGGCACCCCACCCAGGGAGGCGTGCGCCTCACACTTTGAAAATCGCTGGTCTAGTACAACAGTCCTGCAATTAATCCTCCCTTCATCAAGGTTGACATGTTCAGATATTGTTGAAACTGTTTAAGAGAAATGTTGATTCAGTTGTGAGATCATATTAAAGGCTGTGATTTGTGCTGCTGTTGACCGTGCAGTTGTCGGTTGCCTGGCTTCCTGTAAAACTACAATGTCTCATTTTCTATTTCTGCATGTGCGAAACACAGAAGATGAGACATGTGGGTGTGGAGGCTTTAGGATTGTTGGAAGACTCGTTTGAGAAGTTGACACTGGACATTATTGTTTAAAAACTGAGACAACCACACATTTTCTCAGTCAGTCTCACCTGGAAGACATGCACAGTGTTGCACTCAGTTCACATTAAAAGTTTCAAACAGTTGTGTAACAATTGGAAAAAAAAGAGAGGTGGAGAGAGAAGTACAATACCTGGGTCCTCTCCCACCTCCGAACAGTTGACCAGTCACAGTGTGAAGTGGGCGAAAGTTGGTTGGTCAGTTTTGGAAAGTTACAGTAAATCGTCGACACAGGGCACCCTCTATCCAGCGTGGGAAACGGGTGAGGAGGGTGGTATTTTGGTAGTTTGATTAAGTTTGCTTTCTTCCTCATGGTTATTAATCTCGTTTGTCACCAGGAGATAACCCACTTGCATTCCTGCGGACCCAGCCCCAGTTTCTGCACATGAGACAGGCCATCCAGCAGAACCCTTCTCTGCTACCAGCTCTTCTCCAGCAGCTAGGCAGGGAGAACCCTCAACTTCTACAGGTAACACACTGCGACTCACAACACAGAGATCTTCAAGTCAGGCACATGCGAGACAACCTCGCACAATGAGTTTTCTAGACCAGCGTGGAGCCATGTTGTGCCCCTGCTGTGACAATACTTGTTCAATTGCTGTCCCAAACTCCCAGCAACTTTTTGGGTAATAGTTAATAAGACTTGAGGTATTTTAACTGTTGAAAAGGCAAGAATTTCCCTTCCTAATCAAGCACCGTTACATCTACAGAGCAATTCCACCCTGTAAAAATGGCTGCACTAATTGTAAAGATATTTGTACACAGATAATTGTAAACACATAATGTGAATGTGTGTTAAGGAGAAGGAGGGATTACGGTGTACAGTGGTCAGTTACACAGATGTTCTTCTAAAGAGTGGACTATCACTGTATGTGCACGTTATGTGAATATGTGACTCAGCACATATGTATATCATTCATTACTTTCCCTGCTGACCTTCTCAGCTTAATGTCCCTGTCATCACCTAGCAACCTACTGTTTTAATGGACTAACTTTTTTTCACCACCGTCCCGGAACTGTCCCAAAACACAATTCTAACCGTCCCGAGGTGAAACTGAACTGTCCCAAAATCATTGTCATCTAAATTTGTTATTTGTATGTAACATTATAAAAACACCAGTAAAATGAATAAAAAGGAAATAAAAGGAAATGAATAATTATATTAATTTTGCTCTATTCAAAGAAATATGTTTAAAACAAAAGCATAAAGGTTCTGCAAACTGTAAAAAAAAAAAAAAAAAGTAATAATAATTTTAAAAAAATGAACAGGAGAACAGAGTTTTGGGAAAATACTGTCTCAGTCTTTGTTCTGAGGTCTTTGTGCCCTTCAACCAAACACTCCACCACATGGTCACCACTCTTCTTATTTGTGCTTCTTCCTCAGCAAATCAGTCAGCATCAGGAGCTATTTATCCAGATGTTGAACGAGCCGGTGGGAGAGGGGGGAGATGCACCAGAGGTTGGAGAGATGGGGGCAGCAGGGGAGGAGGGTGCACCTGTCAATTACATCCAGGTTACACCTCAGGAGAAGGAAGCCATCGAAAGGGTGAGTGATGAATATAGACTAAATATTGTCGTACATTATTCAATTTCAAATTAAGAGTTGCAGATCGTTAAAACGCTCTCTCCTGTCTCTCTGCTCTTTGTCTCTCCCCATCTGTTGTGACTGAACAGTTAAAAGCGTTGGGTTTCCCTGAGGCTCTGGTGATCCAGGCCTACTTTGCCTGCGAGAAGAACGAGAACCTGGCAGCCAACTTTCTCCTCAACCAGGGACTGGAGGATGACTGAACACAGATCACTGCCTTCCTGCTCCTCCCTCCTACCCTTCCCCTCTTCGGCTCAGCATAAAGACTGCACCCCCCAATTTTACTGTACAGCTACCAACCTCAGCTCAACCCAACAGGAGGGGAGGAGAGGGGAGAGCCAGCAGGGGGGCGGGGGAGTTGGGTGGGGGGGACGGTGGGATGGGAAGGGGGAAACGGGGTGGGTTAGGTTTATGGTGGGGTTACACACTTAAAGTACACAAAGTGGAGGATGCGTGCAGGAAGGTCAGACTTAGATTATCAGAGGTCAGGGGTGAAAAAGTGGAAGAATTATGAAATCCACGTGAATTCCAATGGAATGTGTGGGGTTTGTCTAGGGGAGATCTATAATTTGATTTTAGATGCGCTTTGTGAACATTAGGGAGGGGGGTGGGGTCAACGGGGGTCGAAGGGTTTGCGACGAGAGCGTGTGCTTGTGTCTCTGTGTGTGCGTGTGTGAGTACATGTCTGTGTGCCTGTGCTGATGGATGCGATACAGTTAAGCAGAAAAAGTAATCAATTTGCAAGTTTGTTAATGCTGTAGCCGGATTGTATGGAAGCACATTCTCCTCACTGCACTTCGACAACATTATCAGTGTGTGTAACTGCTTGTGTGTACCTCTGTAAGCCTTCATGTACGTACGTCCAAGAATGAAACTGGCAGAGACGCACTGGACCGTGCTGCCCTCTGTATGTGTCTGACATGATGTTGTTGGGGGAGGAAATGGGAACTAAACTGACAAATAAGTATCTGGTTACTCTGTTCACTTTGTACCACCCCTCATCTCTTCTGCCATGGTGGCTGCACATATGGCAGCCGATCAGAACCCCTGCAAATGCCGTGCTTCCCTGTTTAGGTTACTCCAATGTGGAACTGTTATGTCTATGCTCATTGCTTCTGGTGCTAATTAACACTACCCAGAAAAATCTACTGTGCAACTCAAAAATCAGACTTTTGAGGTTCTGATCTACCTTTTAAATTCTTTAAAATCTTCTATTATGATTTTAAAAACACAATAGAAGGAGAAACTCGAGCAGCGACTGGTCATTAACGTTAAATTCTTCAATTTCAACTTGCTAGATGTAAAGACTGCAACTAAAATGCTTTGAAATTTATGGTGGCAGGTTTGTTGTAAGTTCTCCGCATGTTACAGAAGGTTTACCAAAAGGAGGACCTTTTATCCACTACAGTCCACACTCTTAACTGTGAGGCTGTTTCAGTTTGTAAGGAGGTGACCCACAGTATTTGGGAAGACACATTATTTTACCTACATAAATGAACTACATAACCAAAATGATTAAATGCCCACACATTTAACATCTTAGGTGTTGTATGCATTTTCTTTTGCAGGCAAATCTGTGTGTACTGCTTGGTGAGGAGTAAAGCATCTGCATGTGGTTTTAACAGTGTCATGTGATTTGACTCATCAGGACCATGCAATGACTTATTCTCTTTCTTTTCTTCTAGTCAGTTCTTAACAGGTCCCAGAAGATTACTACCATTATACATTGTACTACCATGTCTAGGATGTCTAGAACAGCATATTTCATGCCTTGTATCATTGCTTTCAGACATTCAAAAAGCTTAAGGGAAACTACTGGGAACCAAATCTATTTTCTGTTGGGATAAATACACCAATCAGCCACAATGTTAAAATCACTTACTGGTTTTGTCCTTGTGGCTGATTGGTGTATACTTTATTTTTCATTTTGTCCAACCAGAGGCAAATTGTAGTCGCAAATTAAAACATCTGAGTTCCAATAAAACTTAGATTAAATTCTGAATAAAAGAAAATGACAAAATTAATTTACCTGTGATTGTCTAAATTTTCTGGCACTCCATGTGCAACCAATTAATAATTCTGCCAGTTAGGCAGATGCATAAAAGTTAATTTTAAGCAGTGGTGTGGACAGAGACAGGTAGATGACCAATTAGTATCATGGATGGAGTTCTGAGTTGGCCAGTAGGGTACAGGCACAGGTGCCCCCAGACCACATCTTCTGTATGAAGTGGCTTAAAATTTCTTGTTTGAAAAAGAAATGCAAAAAAACAAAAACAAAAAACTACAGATGCAAAACAACAATTAAAAAAGAAATGCCAAGTGAGTACAAAGAGGTTCAAAAAGCAAAGACTTAAAAGGACCATAAATAGACACAAAACCAGTAGAAAGAGTTGCACACACGTGATCACAAATGACACAATTGTTTTACTATTTTACTATTCAACCCGTTCTGCCCCCCAACCCCTGACTATGAGACCAGTAATTTGAGTCAACAAATGCAGGGGAAGAGAAATTGTACTTGTATCAAGGCTACATTATGCATACTGAGGTTCAACTACACACAAAACAGTTAATGAGAAGAAATTGTCCTGTAAGGAGCAGGCTTAATCCATTGTCACCATTATACTGTACGTGCAGATGGGCTGATTGTCCACTACAGGTTACTGTAATATCAAGCTTACTATGGTCATTGCTGACCTGGTTGTGGCGTGGGAGCTGGGGATATGTGGTAACTGTTTTGATTGCAAAGGTTTTCAACTCAATGTGGGTCCATGAACAGACGATAACTGTAAAATAAAAAACAAAGTGTCTCCAGTATGATTTTGTATGTGTGAAGGCGGTTTTTACTGGCAACTGTCCTACAGCAACATCATGACCTTAGACTATGCTGTGCTACATTAAATATCAGCAATGTTTCGGGCCTTTTGACTCTTTGTGCCTCATTAACATTATCATACATCTCACTCAGTCTGCTCAAACCAGCTTTTCAAATACTCAAATGGTCACTGGGGGCCCTCTAGTGGGTCAATGCAGCCTCACTATTCCAGCTGACAATGTAGAAGAAGTGTGGAACACCTGTGACTCACATTTACACCAGATAGAGTTTCCAGTTTAAGTGACCTATATAAACGTCATATGATAAGGCATAAAATTGTCAGTGAAGTAACAGAGTAAAACATCAAAAACTGTCATAGCATTGAAAGGCAAAAAAGGCATAGAAAGCCTAAAAGGTCATAGTATAGTAAGGAATAAAAACGTCAAAAAACGTCATAGTATAGTAAGGCCTGAAAAATCACAGTATAGTAGGGCATTAAAATGTCATGAAATGTCATAGTAAAGTAGGGTATAAAAACGTCAAAAAAATATAGTACGGCATAAAAACGTTAAAATACATCACAGTATATTAAGGCATAAAAACGTCAAAAAATGAATAGTATAATAAGGCAGAGAAACATAGCAGTAATGCATAAAAATGTCATAGTGTAGTAAGATGTAAAAATGTCAATGGTATGGCAAAAAAAAGTGAAAAACAACATAGTATAGTGTGGCAAAAACATGAAAAAATGACAATATATTAAGGCTTCAAAACATCAACAAACATCATAATATGGTCATGTATACAGATGTCATAGTATATTATGCGTATTAAGTGAGAAAAATGACAGTATAGTATGGCAAAAAAAGTGAAAAAACGACATAGTATAGTATGGCAAAAAACGTGAAAAAATTGCATATTGTATTAAGGCATAAAACCATCAAAAAAGGTCATAATATACTAAGGAATAAAGATATCATTGTATATTGAAGCCTAAAAAGTGAGATAAACGACATAGTATGGTATGGCAAAAAAATGAAAAAATGGCATAGTATATTAAGGCGTAAAAACATAAAAAAACGACACAATATGGTCAGGTATACAGATGTCATAGTATACTTAGGCTTATAAAGTGCGAAAAGTGACATAGTATAGTATGGCAAAAAAAGTGAAAAAAAACGACATAGTATAGTATAGCAAAAACATGAAAAAATGGCATAGTATATTAAGGCTTCAAAACATCAGCAAACATCATAATATGGTCAGGTATACAGATGTCATTGTATAATAATGCCTATCAAGTGATAAAAATGACACAGTATAGTATGGCAAAAAAAGTGAAAAAAACGAGATAGTATAGTATGGCAAAAACATGAAAAAATGGCACAGTATATTGAGGCTTAAAAACATCAACAAATGTCATAATATGGTCAGGTATACAGATGTCATTGTATAATAATGCCTATCAAGTGATAAAAATGACACAGTATAGTATGGCAAAAAAAATGAAAAAAACGAGATAGTATAGTATGGCAAAAACATGAAAAAATGGCACAGTATATTAAGGCTTAAAAACATCAACAAATGTCATAACATGGTCAGGTATACAGATGTCATTGTATATTAAGGCCTATTAAGTGAGAAAAATGACACAGTATAGTATGGCAAAAAAAGTGAAAAAACGACATAGTATAGTATGGCAAAAACATGAAAAAATTGCATAGTATATTAAGGCTTAAAAACATCAAAAAAGGTCATAATATACTAAGGAATAAAGATGTAATTGTCTATTGTAGCCTAAAAAGTGAGATAAACGACATAGTATGGTATGGCNTCCTTTTTTTTCACTTTTTTTGCCATACCATATTATGTTGCTTTTTGCATTTAATAGGCCTTAATATACAATGACATCTGTATACCTGACCATATTATGACGTTTGTTGATGTTTTTACGCCTTAATATACTATGCCATTTTTTCATGTTTTTGCCATGTTCTATGTCATTTTTTTTCACTTTTTTTGCCATTCCATACTATGTCGTTTATCTCACTTTTTAGGCTTGAATATACAATGACATCTTTATTCCTTAGTATATTATGACCTTTTTTGATGGTTTTATGCCTTAATACACTGTGCCATTTTTTCATGTTTTTGCCATACTATACTATGTCGTTTTTTTTCACTTTTTTTGCCATAGTATACTATGTCATTTTTCTCACTTAATACGCATAATATACTATGACATCTGCATACCTAACCATATTATGACGTTTGTTGATGTTTTGAAGCCTTAATATACCATGCCATTTTTTCATTTTTTTGACATACTATACTTTGTCGTTTTTTCACTTTTTTTGCTATACTATACTATGTCACTTTTCACACTTTATAAGCCTTAGTATACTATGACATCTGTATACCTGACCATATTGTGTCGTTTTTTAATGTTTTTAAGCCTTAATATACTATGACATTTTTTCATTTTTTTGCCATACCATACTTTGTCATTTATCTCACTTTTTAGGATTCA